ATCATCAGGATGGTTGGAGAAAGCTATTGTGTGCATCTCGTAAATGTTTTAAAAGAAGCAAGCAAGAGTTAGCTTCATGAGATATTAAACCTAGAACTACAACAGACCGTATACTAATAACTATCATGTGCTTATACCAAAAACAACAAGAATCTGATATTTCTTTGTACTGTATGGTTTTACTAATAACAAGCTTTACCTTGATAGCTGAGTAGTTGTTCTTGTTTAGTGATTGTAAGTGATATATTTTGGTAATATTTTGCATGTATTTCTTGAACTATAATGGTAAGCTCTAATATTAAAGGAAAAGTTATAGAGATTCTTTGAGCTAGCCAGTTCTTAGAAGTTAAATTTGAGATCAATTGTACTTCAACAAAATATAATCTAGAGAGTATTGGTAATAGGAAAAAAAACTGTGGTGAATCCCTTAAGTTGCTCTCATGTCAATTTGTTTTAAATTTTTTACTCATTAGTGTTATAGTGTGTACTAAGAAAATTAAACAAAAATTTTTTACTCTGTGTTTATGCTCTTGATTATCTTGGTGATTTGCGTTTAGAATTAGATTTTCACCACCTTCTTATAATCTCACTTTAAAAATGTGTGATGGGTTATTAATCTTATGTTTTTAACACGTAGTTATATTCGATACATCGACACGTTTGTTTTTTCTCTTTTCAGTATACGCACGCTCAGCGTCACCGTTGAAGCTCGCACTCGCCCTCGACATCCCCTTGCTTGGAGATTGCTTCGATATCTTCATCAGCCCTCATGACTTCGAACAAATTGAAAGCGTCAACGTCTTCGATTTCTTCAAAATTAAAGTCTTCCTCTTCTAAATGCAAAAATCCTCTAACGTCGTAAGTAAAATTTTTTTTTGAGATATAATGTTTGTTTTAATATGCGTCGAAAGTTGAAATTGCTGCCTCCGCCTAATGATGTCTGTGTCAACAAGTCATTGCTTAATGAGATATAACCTCTTGCATGAGATAATGTTTGTGTTAATAAACTTATAAAAATTATTGTGATTATTGTCATATCGAGTATCTATTTTTAGGTAATTTTTACCAATTTCTGAATTGTAATTTTCTTGTAGGGATATGATAACACAATTGAGACTTCCATCCAATTTGTGTTATTTTTGAGATTTAATTGATAAGAGAATAAAATTGGATGAAAGGCACATAAAAGCCCTAGAGACGACGCCTTTTCACAACTTCCTCAAGTTACCCACATCCTTGAGCAATGAGCAAATTATAATTGATTGCTTGATTCAAAAATTTAATTACGATACATGCTCATTCATGATTGGGAATAAAATTTGTGTGTTTGGTATAGATGATATTCACCGAATTACAGGTTTGCCAAAGGAAGGAATTTTGATAAAAATGAGTGGGACAGTGTCTAATACAATCTACACCAATTTTGTAAAGAATTATAAGACACTCAAGGAAAAGAAGAGTAGTAGGTCTAAAGGAAAGAAGAAAGCCGATGAGAAAAAAAGGCAGTGATTTGGGGGAAGCGCGATAGAATGGCCGAGATGATTGTAGATATGAATAATGAAGACCCTATAATATGTGTGAAACTTATTGTGGCTTTCATTATCGGATTCATACTATGCCCGCGGACATGTAAGACATGTCCCTTATGGGCATTCAGATATGCGAAGCAATTATCAACTTTGAAGAAATATAATTGGTATCATGCGGTGTTTACTTTTCTTTGTAAAGAGATGATTAAAGCAAAGAAGTCCCTTAGTATGAGGGGATTAGGTCAGCGTTTAAATGCTGGGTACATGGGTGGTTTTTCCTCCGTTTTACTAGTGAGTTACATGAACATTATTTTTGTATATCTTTTCAATTTGATAATGATTATTGTTTATGCACATGCTAATGTATAGTTTCTATATTGTAGGTTTGGTTTTATGAAAAAGTAGGGGAAATAGAGTACTCTTCTGATATTGAAAGATTATCGCCGATATTTTGTGTGAAGAATAATGGAAAGTGGAGGACGACTACTATGAACAAATTATATAGAGATCCGAAGTTTCTTACTTATAATGGCCAAGAGAATACTCCTCTTACTCATAGGGCATCGCCAAGAGTGTTTGTACATATTTTTGCTCTCATATTTCATTATTTTATGTCTTATTAATTATGATCTATGTTTGCAACTATAGTATAAGTACTAATACTTGTATTTTTTTGTCTTATAGGAATCAAGGAAAGCTGAATTAATTGCCTTAATTGTGGAGAAGACGTATGAGTTGAACAAGCTCACTACAGAACTATGAGAATTAGAAGAGCATAGTGCTAGATGCAAAAAAGAAAACAAGGAGAAAGAGGATGATAGAAATGTAATATTTGAAAATAAAAGCGAAGAGGATAATAAAGCTAATGAATATGAGAATGTGGAAGAAACTGAGGAAGCCGATATTGGTGATGACTTTGTGATGAGCCCAAGAGACATGAAAATTTTAGAAGAAGCTCGGTGAGTTTAGTTATTTGAATTCTCTTGCAATTTTACGTTGTATACTTTTTGTATAATTCTTGTGTTACTCTTTGTTAATTATATGCATTTCAACTCCATAGAGATGTTTCTCAAAAAGAGGACAGTGGTAATGAGAATAAGAGAGAAACTCCATCTATCAAACGGGCTATCAGAAAGAGAAAGAGGAAGGATGGACCCTCTGTTACTTCACCTTATATGCATCTAGATCAAGCAAATGAAGATACAAAGAAGAAACATGTCATCCAGATATTGGATAGTCCTCAGTGGGAAAAAGTGCAAAAATGAAGAAGGCTTCATACCTACATCTCTCGACTATCCAGGTAAGGTACTGGTCTATGATTACGAGGACAAATTAATTGAAGACTTTCTACAATCGAAAATGACCAGGTATTTGTTTTGACTTATTTTAATAATAATCTTTGAATTTAGTTAATTTGTCTTGCAATTTTCTCACCATGTATTTGCATATAGTGATACATACATTTGGAAGTGTGCCGAAGCAAGCGTATCTAGCTTAGATGCTTATAAACTATTAACAGGAGGTAAACTCAGTGATGATGTAGGTTCTAAACATTTGTGTTATGTTTTGTTTGATGTTGTATATAAAATCACTTATATTAACTACTTTACTCATTCATGGTAAATTATGTAGGTGATCGATGCATTTGTTATTCGGCTTTGGAATAAGATTGAAACAACTGATAATTATGATCGAAAGATACGTGTAACAAGACCTTGGCTTGCAGTAAGTATATCCATGTTGTTTCATTAGTTTGTGGTTTTTATTATTATACAACACTACATTGTTGACATTGATGCATCTTTTAGCAAGCAATTCTAGATGGAAATCATGAAATGGTGGCAAAACGAATGAAGGAAAATGTTTCTCAGCAGAAGTTCTTGGAGTGTGAAAGAATTCTGATCCCGATTGTCAGCTCCGGACATTAGCACATGGTAGTGTTAGTGAGAGAGGAGAAAAAATTCTATCACTACTCCTCAATCAAATCTCCCATTTATACCGCCGATGCTGCGAAATTTAGAAATAAGTTTATGAGTTTCATACAGAGTAATTAGAGATTGGGGAAATTAGAGCATCATGATCTGGTGTCAGTTGTCACGCCACAACAAGGACCGTAAGTGTTTCATGCATTCCTAATGTAAATGTTCATTTTTTTCTCAAAGTCACTTTGTATATTGATTTTTTTTGTATTAAATGCAGAACTCTAGATTGCGGAAACTTTTTGCCCTCATTTATCTGGAAAAAATTTTGTACCCAGTTATTAGAGTTTTGTACCTACTTATGCACGTTTTGTACCTACTTATGCACGTTTTGTCCCTCAATTATCTGGAAAAAAATTTGTACCCAGTTATTATAGTTTTGTACCTACTTATGCACGTTTTGTACCTACTTAAGCATGTTTTGTACAAAAAATTTATTGTACCCACTTATTCAAGTTTTGTACCTACTTATGCATGTTTTGTCCCTCAATTATATGGAAAAAATTGGTACCCAGTTATTAGAGTTTTGTACCTACTTATGCACGTTTGTACATGCTTAAGCACGTTTTGTACCTCGTAGCTCTTGAAAAAATTTATTGTACCCACTTAATCATGTTTTGTACCCACTTATTAAAATTTTGTACCTACCTATGCACGTTTTGTACCTCATTGATCTGAAAACAAGTATTATACTTGTTAATGTTTTATCCCCACTTGCAACATTTTGGACTCATTTATCTACATTAAATTTGTACCTGGTTATTAGAGTTTTGTACTTACTTATGCATGTTTTGTACCTACTTAAGCATGTTTTGTACATCGTAGCTCTTGAAAAATTTTATTGTACCCACTTATTCAAGTTTTGTACCCACTTATTAAAATTTTGTACCAACTTATTCACATTTTGTACCTACTTAGGCATGTTTTGTACCTCATGGCTCTGTAAAAAATTTATTGTACCAACTTAATCAATTTTTGTACCCACTTATGCACAATAATTATCATCCATACATCATTAATTCATACAACCGCATTATCATCTATACAACCAAATCATCCATATGTACATAAACTTTAATTGAAATTATCATCCATACATGATTAATCGATACAACCACATTATCAGCCATACATGATTAATCCATACAACCAAATCATCCACATGTACATAAACTTTAATTCAAATATTCAACATTCTTCAGAAACACATGCTTTGTTTTGGCCCGCCGTTAACTTTGTTTTGGCACTCCGTTATCTTTCTCGACCACCACTTGCAACATTTTTCATCTACAAAAAAAAATTATAACTTTAACATGACAAATGCATCGACAGGAAAAAAAATATTAAATCAAGATTAAATATAATACCTTAGCTAAAGAACAACTCGTTATATAATGTCCTTTTCCCTTACAAAATCCAAAAAATCTTTGTTTTTTATACTCTTTTCTTGTGCTATCTCCATTCCGGACTTAATTCTAGTAGCTTGTGCTGGTCATCCTTTCGTGGCAATAGGTTTATCTGGATCACGAATAGTGATTTGAGTTGCTTCCTCTACAGAGATGGGTATGGATGAAGTAGGCATCTTATTGCTGGCATTACTTTCATTTCCATTGTTGTTATGTTCCTTTTCTTTCTTGTAAGTACTAACTTCTTTAAAAAATGAGTCTAAAAAAGCACTGAACTTATCATAAAGTGTACTTGAAGTCAATGTATCTTCTAGTGTCTTGTTACATCTACTCCTAAGGGCCCAATGTTTAATGAGAGAGAGTTGGTCTTTACTATTTGAAATGCAATTTCTAACAACTCCGCAACCAACATGTCTTGCTTTAATTGTCCATTGTTGCATAATATATCTTGATGGAATTTCTAATACTTGCTTCTTTACTAAAATGTGCAAGCTATGTTTACATAATATACCTTCCATCTCAAATTTCGCACAAGAGCACTTAATTCTTTTATCTTTGGATGCATCGAAAACAACGTGATGCTTTATCCTCTTCTTGCTCTCAGCCTCGCGATCTATATTCCAAACGGCATAAGTTGAACTTGCGCCGTCCTTCGACAACCGTTCATGAAGCAAGGAGTAACTATCCTTGAGTTCTTTCTGAAAGATAGTAAACATATTCTTTGTATAATTCTCCCTAGCTTGTTTTTCAATGGGATGTTCAATTATCAATGTAGGAACAAAGTTTGTGGACTTAAAATCTTGCTCAAGTTCAGCGGCTCGGCGAGCTCCAACAGCTTTATCATATTGCTTAACAAAATCATGTAACTCGGTATTTGCATTCACAAAATGATCAAAAAAGGCATTAATTCCCTCACTCCGCTGAGTAGATGTCATTCCTGTAGTAAAAGTGTCTTTAAGATACACTGGAGCCCAATGGTCTCGATGATTGTATAAATTTACTAATCAGTTCCTTTTATCTGCACCATATTTGTCCCGCATTTCTTCCCAACGCTTTACAAATTTTTCTTCTGATTTACTCCAATACCATTTGTTTTACTTTATACCCACGTCCTCACCATATTCATTATGCATTGATTGAAGATTTTGTAAGGCATTCCTATGAAGGTGCCAAGAACAAAAGCGATGACGAGTTTGAGGAAAAACTTTGTGAATTGCACCACACATAGCTTTATCTTGATCAGTGATGATTGTTAATGGTGCTACGCCCAACATACATTTTAACCATTGGCTAAATAACCATATAAACGTCTCCTCCGTTTCATCGGCCAGTAACGCACACCCAAATAGAATAGATTGTCGATGATAGTTAACGCCCGTAAATGGTGCAAACGGCAATTTTAAATTGTTCGTTCTATATGTAACATCAAAGCAAACAACATCTCCAAATTGCAAGTAAGAATTCCTCGACCTACCATCCATCCAAAAAACACTTCTCATCGTCCCATCATTTTCTAAATCAAGTGCGAAGTAAAATTAAGGATCGAATACCTTTTTCTCTTGAAATTGACGAACTATGCTCACGCACTCATGACCGACATTATTTTTTCGTATTCTAAGTTGTGCTTGGCATTCTTGTTGAGTGAGAGAGCCTTGCTCATTTTCATGAGCAACGTCAACAACCTTACAAATAGTAGAAGGCCGTAAACCTTGATTGTCAAGAGTATCTATCAACCTTCTTGTCGATTGAGCTCGATGAAGTGTCCGATGTGAGTAGTGCTTCTTTACCCGATTTGGGGTGGTTAATGAATGACCATTATGATTAATGTTTAAATTTCGGACCACCCATTTTTTAGTGCTTCTATCGAGTCCAATAACCATCCTTGCGTTGCATCCACATCTTGTATCGAACTTTCAAATTACATTCCGTCCTTCTTCTCTTTTATCTTTTAAAAATTTAAATCCTTCCTTGTCACATACATATATTCTAGATATGATTGCATCTTTCTTTCTCGACCAAGTTGTGTGACCCTTGAGTATGTCAAATCCCTTTAGTCTGGCGTATGCATTGTAGAAATTATAAGCTTCCTCATGAGTAGAGAACTCAATTCCAATATATGGATCAACAACATAATTACCTTCACCATTTTCAACGCCAATAGGCTCATCAACATTCTGCTCATGCTCGGATGCCTATAAAAATAGAGAAACGAAAATTATAAAACTCATTATAAAAGACAACTATTTTGGTATATGTCATTAGATAGTAGTACACTATAAAGAATAAGATATTATCACCTGAGAGAAAAAACTTATCGTAGATAGTAAACCATGGTCCTCGCCTTCAAGGTCAAGGGCTGTATATTTGTTTTCATCTTCAACTATTGTTGTATCACGTGAGAGAATTGTTGGCGTGTCCATACAAGCTATCAAATTATCACATATAAGAATGTTAAAAATCTAGAAAATTTCAATCCTCAAGTTCATCTTTCAATTTCACTAAACAATTTCATTACAATAATTTAAACAAAATTTAAAGCTCATATCCAATTTAACAATAAACCTATCCTAAAATCTAAACTAAAAAATGATAATATTCATTTTTAAAGCTCATATCCAATTTAACAATAAACCTATCCTAAAATCTAAACTAAAAAATGATAATATTCATAATTCATATTCCAAAATCAACCAGAATGATAATATTCATAATTCATATTCCAAAATCAACCAGAATTACAAGTTAAAACCTCCAACAAACTAGTTACTTCATAACCTAAACGTGGCTGAAGACACACATAATTCAAGTTCGAATTCGAAACTACATATATGAATATTAGAGTCCGCATTTGATTTCAATAATTTTAAACAAATACAAATGTGTAACAACTTAGTATTCGATTCGATCGTTTACCACCCCTCAATCATTTTGAATATAACTACATGTTAAAAACATAAAATTATTAACACATCAATCATTTTGAAAGTGAGATTATAAGAAGGTGGTGAAAATCTAATTCTAAACGCAAATCACCATCATTATCAAGAGCATAAACACAGAGTAACAGTGAACTTTCCTCTCTTTGACTACTTTCATTCACATCGGAAGTTCGTTCGAGACACGTCATCCTTGTCCACAAAAAGACCTACCAATCCTAGGGGTGCCCTAAAAATTATATCCAAGTTGATCATTCTTTCATCTCATCATGTTATATTCCACATTTATTTGGACTTAACTTTGTTAGTGATATCCAATTTAACAATAATACAATCTTAAAATCTAAACTAAAAAAAACATATTCATAATAAACTAACCTAAGCGTCCGGCTGATATGACGCTGAAGAGGAGACGACGGAGGTGTTGGGGGGCGGATGTGGAGGGGCTCAAGCGAGCTTCGGAGGTCGATGGCGAGGGACGGCAGTGGTGAGCACGGCGCGGCGACGATCTCCGGGAGGGAGTCGACGACGAGGTCTGGGAGAGTGGCAACGAACAGGAGGTCGATGGCGAGGTCTGAGAGACGGCGCGAATAAAGAAGGCGGTGGTTGAGGGCCGGCTACGAATAGGAGAGGACGGCGATATGATGGGATGGTCGCGCGAAGTCTGGAACGCCGGTGGTGAGGGACGATCGCGAATAGAGCGGCGGAGCGCTTCGTGATTTTTTTTCAAAGCTGGAACGCGATTTGAAGGGAGGAGAACGTGGGAATAGGGTTTTTCTTTTTGGAAATTTGTTTTTTCATTTTTAGGAATTGTTATTGAATCAATGGCTTAGATTATTTTGGGGTTTTTTGAGTCATCAATGGCTGAGATCGCGCATCCTTAAGGCTGCACCTTAGGGAGTCACCTTAGATTCACTTATATATATATATATATATTATATATTATTATATATATATATATATATATATATATATATATATTGTGTGTGTGTGTGTGTTCATACTCCCTTTAAAAGCACGAGTTCGGGAAAGTTTTCTATAGTCAAAATTACCCTTCATAATTTTAAATATTTTATTTATATCTTAATCTATCCTAATCATAATTATATATTATCCTAATCATACATGAACTATCTATAGCTTAACAATTTAAAAGAATCATACTCTCTTTAAAAATACGAATTCATGAAAAACTTTCTATGGTCAATATTATCCTTCATTATTTAGAATATTTCATTTAGATCTTAATCTATCCTAATCATAATTATATCCCTGACTAATCCCATGTAAAAAATCATATATCTAATATTACTCTTAAAAAAGTGGATTCACTTGTGTTTCAGCTCTTATTTACCTTTCCAACACAGCACAATGAGAACATTTTTTCCAAATTCCAAAATTGTCCCCTCTCTCTCTCTTTTCTCCCTTCTCATGCTCACGTCTCCAACCGGCCAGCATCATCTCCTCCTCCAAGCTGCTGGCAAACAGTGGGACGAGTTCAAGATCCGTCGAGATCTGCTGCCAGACCCTACCAGAAACAAGATAGAGAAGCCTCCTCCGATCTACAAACTCCAAATTGCTAAACTGAGCCTTTGACTCATCGCCGGCAGCTGCCACCGGTGATATCGAAGCAGATCGCCTCAGAGATGCGTTCCTACCCTCGTAGGCGGGAGCGACGACGAAGCTCTTGGTGTGCTACAATTAGCAACATAAGCTAAACGTGACATCATCTCGTCTCTTGAGAATATAACAAACAATAATGATTAGGGTAATTGGGCTTTGCGATTATCACGTAATTGATAAGGATCCACATCTAACCGGTGATGGAGCCACACAAGGCTTGCCCTGGGTAGCTACCCAGGGCAAGAAAGTTTTTGATCATCTGTGGTTTTTTCATGGTTTTGTTTTGGATGGTGTGAGCAAGTGATTTTTAGGTGCAGGTTCATGGCATAACCCACTTTCCTATGGTTATATATGTGTGTTTGATTCTTGTGGTTCTTTTGTGCCCTGCACACTAGTTGTTTGTCATTTTTCTTCACTGAAGTAATAAGATCAGTATTACACATAAACATGTGAAATTTTTTTGGGGAGTCTTGATACTCTGTGGTATGACCAATGTAAGTCTATGTCCCAAGGACCATAGCCCTCTAAGGGATTAACTACCATCTCTTCGTTGTTCATTATATATGAGAAGAAAAAAATCATTTGCTTTGCTATGCCTATTTGTTACTTTGAGAATTTGCTATTAGTTTTCTCTTTTGGGCAAGATTTTGTTTTGCAATGGCTTAGAATTTTTATTTTACCAAGTTTTTTATCAGCTGATGTTACCATTGTGAATCCAGTACTGCAACATTTATAACATCTAAAATCTCCAGCCGATAATTATGCTATTTATCTAACCATACGGTTTGGTTGTCTCTAATTTGTGGCAAAATAAGTGAAAATTTGATTAATGTTAAATCTCATGAGAACAAAGAATGTCTGTCAAATCTTATGATCAGCAAGAACATGACATGTATCCTATGTTAACTTTAACTGGTACATGTTAACTTTCATCATTATATATTAACTCTTCTCGTAACATGTTAACTTTCAGCTGAACATGTTAACGTTCATTATAATATGTTAACTTTCACTGCTACATGTTAACTTTCATAATAATATGTTAACTTTCTTCATAACATGCTAACTTTTTCTCAGAATGATTATTTTTTTCTCATCTTATGAATGTGTTGTGTTTTGAGAGAAGTTTGTTTTTATAATGGATAGGCATACACCAATGAACTGGAGAACAAGATCTTACGATTTGAAGAAGAGAACGATATTATATTCTGCGCCGCCACCAGAACCAAAGTATCAACTACGGCGATCAAGCTCAGCTTCTTTCTAAAGATTGCTTGTATACTAAAATTTATAGATTTGCATGGAGATTGGAGTAGTTTTTGTAAGATATTTGTATAAGAAAACATGTCTGAACTTGTGAGAACTTATATATCAAT